ACATGGGCATTTCCTTAAAGCAGAGGTAAGTCAGATCATAAATGACCTATTTCTTTCCATCGACTACAAAGAAACTGTGGTTGGCTAGCTTGAATGCAGACTTGCTCAAACAGATTTCATCCAGAAAACCTAAGGAGACAGCGATGGCATCCATTTACTGTCTTGGAAGGAGAAGGCTCCTTCATATACCTTTTGTCATGCATCAGTTACGTATCTTACAAAATAAACCACATGGGCTTGTCTACAGTCTCCAACCACACACACAATGGATAACAAATTAAGGTTACGCAAGCAACTCTGTTTCTTCCCTTTTCTAACGTTCGAGTCCTGGGCATGCTATGATAATGCTCTTGCATCTCATATATAAACCCACTGCAAATCCACCAGTTCCTTGTATATTAAAGGAGAAAATTATTATGGAGGGAGCAAACAGTCTGGGAGGATGGGATGCATGCTCGTACAATATTTTGCTGGACCTCAGAGGAATATCAGGAATTGTGGATCTTACTGTTGCCCTCAAAGGGGAGAATGGTTTAGTGGTCACAAACAGCAATGCCAAGAACAAAGATTTGAATCACTTTTTCTGAGGGCTGAACAACTAAGAAGGTGACGTATGGGTCTGCTGTACTGGTTTCCTCTGTCCACAGAATGGACTAGAAGCAAGAAGCAACATAAGAAAGCCAACATATGAGTTTCCATCCTATGATTCAGGTTTTTGCTGTATACAATCCAAACCCAAACACAACAGACCTTAACAAATTTTCAGGCAAAGGTACTGTTCTTAAGGGAAGTGGCAGCAGGCTCCGCTGGCCACATCCACTGCTTCCCAACTGCAGATGGAAGGGATCCAACCCTTTTACAACAGCTACTCCAAAGCTTTGAACGTGGTAAACTTCAGGCATTATCCTATAAATCAATAGCTCACTCAAAATGAAAGTCCCCACTGATAAAGGCTAGAGCATTGGTAAGAAGACTTAAGAGAAGTACTATAAACTGCACAGACATATCTGCCCATAGGCACAGGAGAAAGTACCACCTATAGGACTTAGGAGCAAGTATCTCACTGTACTTTAATAACCACCAAGTTCCCAGATCTGTAAGAGATATTTATGCACCTCAATCCCTTTGGCAATGTTGGCTCTAAGGTGTTTTTAAAATCTCATCCCAAATTACGAAGTATCTATGAATTTCCAGCTCATTTTCACTTTCAACTACTTCTGTTCAATTCTGTTCTTGCCTGATCTATAACTTATGTTAAAACATATGGCAGTGTATTTGCTAAAATTTCCCTCAAAAAGTGCATTCCCTAAATCAATTCTAAACAGCTTCAGATTTGAGATCAGGAAGGGGGTGGAGGGGAGAACCTAATAGTGCTTTGTTGTTTTTCTGTTGGGGTTTGGGTTTTTTTCTTCTTTTTTTCCTATGAAGCTAACTGAAGCAGCCAAAAGTTATTTAGAGTTAGTTTATGAAGTGAAGATTCTATATATTGTAGTGGAAAGGCAATTTAATCTTAGTTCCAGATATTTAAATGCTCAATATACATTAAAAAAAACCACCCTTCATAAACGTTATTATCAAATACTTCGGTGAAAGATTTAGGAAAAATACTGCACGTGCATTCAGTAGGAATCCCCAGTGGTTGTCTCATTTACCTCATTACACACATGCGTGTGCACACACACAGAGTGTTAATTGCACTCCAAAAGAAAACTGCAGGCACAGACCACAAGAAATTATTTGGGTCCTTCCCCTGGCTCCCTCCTCCCGATGGACGCCTACTATTCTTCTAAAAATTCCCCACAGAAAAAGGGAATGCTAATTGTAGCTATCACAAAGTGTTTTTCCATCGTCACAGAAATTTAATTCCTAAATTTGAGTCAATACACACGCAGAGGCAGAGACCAAGTAGAGGTAGGAGTGCTGATGGATCCACGTAACAATTCATTCTAGCAAGGAAAATTTAAATACACATCAAGAGCATAATCCAATAATTGGCAGATCCACTTCAAAATCTTGAAAAGCTTATTTTCAGCCTCTTAAAGCTAACTGATGCAACACCTTCCTGTGAGAACACCATGTAGCCCAGGCACTTGTCTCCCATACTGCAGAGTTACCACAAAACGCATTAGTTCCCACTTCAGGGCTTATTCTCTTACATTTTTCCAGGAACAATGTGGGACTTCTTTTTGTCCTCAGAAGAAATAAGGTGCTTAGCTCAAGTCTCAGTACCTGTTAAGACTTGGAAGTTCGTGCTGTCTTGTGCCAATCAAAGCTGCACAAGACACTCAGGCGTGTAACAAAAGGGCTAGAACATAGAACACACTCATGCCACTGTATCAGTTAATGGTATGACCTCATCTGCAATATCAAAGGCAAGGACACATCTCAGAAAGATCAAAGAAAATAGTAAGAACAATCAGGACCTTGAAAAATCTCTCACAGAACCGACAAAAAAAAAACTTGCAGAACTGTCACATGACAGAGATGTTAATTTGGAGAAAATTGGACAAAGAATGATAAGCCCAGAGAGAGAGGACATCTGTTCTCCTCAAGACCTGAAAGAAATCGGTGTTAGCTGATCACCACCCATAATAAATCTTCCATTTAGGAGCTAGCACTAGGCTCCAAGAGCAAGCCTGGGGAGCAAACAGTAACGCACTAGCACCGACAGCGACTGATTTGAGGACAGGTTGTGGGACTGCAGTTGCACTGGCAATACCAACACAAGAGGCTGTCCACAGGTAGAGGACAGATCTTCATCCCACCTCCCAGGCTTGTTCTCCAGCATCAAACTCTCTCAGGAATGAAGAAAGAAATGGTTAATGCATGAATTCCTCTAGGAGAGATAAAGTCAATCTGTACTAGTGGAAACTGCCCCTTTCTCCCTATACCCTAATACAAGTAGAACCATGGGAATGCATTTTCTCTAGGTCTGCTTACCATTGACAAGCAGTCACTCAAGTGTAAAGGCAAGAACCAGCTTTATGCCTACACACGACTCCATCACAGCCACTCACACCACCTCTGCAAGAGCAAGGTGTAGCACGGCAGGCTTATGCTGAATTCAGGCCCCACAGAGCTGATGCAGGTTAAGAGCAAGAAGCATTTTGCCAGCAGAAGCATGTGCTCACGCTTGGCCTGCAGTGCCTTTATTCTAAATAAGTAATTATCTGCTTTACCACTCTCCTCAAACACTATCCTAAAATGAAAGGGGAGCAGCATTTGTTCCAACCATGGCAGAACTTCAGTTTGCTTAGAAATAAAAAAAAAAAAAAAAAAAAAAAGAAGAGGGCAGCTGTGAAGAAATCACTCTGCAAATTACAGGAACTGCAGCACAGCAAGGAAGTATGGGCTTCTAATGGCCTCCAGTAAACAATACATATGCATCTTCTCCCTGAAAAATATATCATGCAGCTAAGTAAACATTCTTCTGCGAACACTGGTTTTGACTGCTAGTGGGTACAGAGGCCCTGTTGGATGGGGAACCAGACAAGCCTAGGAGAGCTGGAATCCCTGCCCAGACAGCTTACAATTCACACAGATAAGGTGACAAAAGGTGGGAGAGAGTCACAAGACGTAATGAGCGTTACAAGGAAAACAAGTTGAGCCAACTTAACCACTGGGAAGGAAACACAACCTCGAGTCTAGAAAAGAAATGTGGCTTCGTTCTCTACTTCTAAAGGTAATCCCCAAGTGTCGCAAAAACTTTGAAAAGGCAGTTGAGTTGTGCATCAAAACTGGAAAAAGAAACCCACTTATGCAAACTTCAGTAAAAAAATTAAATAAGAAAATAGAGTAAGTTTGTATAATATTATAAAAAAAATTTACACAAACAGTTACAGCTGTAGCAGTATCAGCAATCTTATGTATATTCGTATCAATGAATCACTTAGCCTCAGCCTAAAAACTATGTTTTCTGTATGCTAGAGTAACTGAACACCCCAACTTCACAGGGGAAAAACTTCAGACGTATTACAAATTTCTTTACCCAGGCATGTTCTGAAGATTACTTTTTGTATCCATAGGTAAAAGGTGTAAACTACCATTAGATTGCACATAAACTACTGATTAATTTTCAAATCTTAGCTTAATATTGGTTAATAAGCTGCCTTTAGGAAGAAACATTCATGTTCTTGCCACTTATGAACAGGTGGACTTTCTGTTATTATTTATGGACTACTGAGACAACACTCACAGGACAAAAAAAATTATCATGGTTGTCAAAGGAATTAGTTTTGCATTTAGAGGTTTTAATGCAATTTTACTGTGTTTAGATTTTACAAAGATGCTCAACCACAGCTGAGAAATGCTAAAAGTCATTACTAGAATGTACCAATACCAACAGTTTTATACTCAGGGATGTTTTTTTAAAGCACAGGTATATCAGCAAACCCCTTGGTTTCATAAGAGGAACATACAGATAGCTTTCAAAACTCCTGTGACACTGAACTTCAAATTTATAATTAACTAATCTAATAACAGGCTTAAAAGAGCCTTCTTTGGACCTTTTTATGTCAGAGCAATTTATTGTGACAGAAGATTATTTTTATCAGCTTGGAGATAGAAATCCTTCTCTGAAAGAAGATACTTCCAAGGACTCAATGTTTACAAACAAGCAGGAGTTCTCAAGAGAGAACATCTCTTATATATACACACAACAGAAAAAAAAGGATATACAATCGGCAGGTTGAGGATTTCACTTACTTAAAGCACTTAAAAGAAAATGGAGTTCCTTTGAAAATTCATCTCCAAGTGTGGGTTGCAGTCAGCTTTTTGAAGATTAAACAACTTTATAAAGAAGGAAATAGTATGGTAGAGATTAAACTTCAATTTCACCTGTTTGACTTTGGGTCCTTTCATGCTTTGGCTACATAAAATTTGGCATTAACCTGCAAGCTGATGTCATTTTACCATATCCAAACTCACAGGAGCAAGAAATGTCCTCTGAAGGAGGCCACAATATACATATATTTTTCCTTTTTAAGACAAAACATACATACCTTTAAATCTGGAGAGAAGTTGTCTGCCGAGGTGGAGACCGAGTCGGACGATATAGCAGAAGCAGATTTGGTGTGAGCAGAATGGTCCGAGTGAGAAGTGGAAGCGCTATAAAGAGAAACACCACAGTGTATCAAAACCGTGCTCAAGAACACTCAAAAGCCAACAAGTACAGCCACTCGCTTACAGTCATATCAGGCATTTTTCAATATTTCCACCCTTTCCATTCTCAGTTATTCAGCCCTCAGCAATGGTTTAAGAGAACTGTTTTACTCGCCATTGCCACAGATTAGCAAAGCGCACACAATTCATTACCAAATCTCAGCTCAGACTGAGCCAACATTATCACGATCACACACTTGATCAAATCCTAAATCACAGAAACTATAAGGGCCTCCATTTCAGGCTTTCAGATGGGAGATATTAGTGTGCTGCAAGGAGATGAAAACAGACAGACTCCTGAACACACGCCAGCACAACTCCAACCGCAGCTTTACAACAGTGGAAGAAACTCAGAATAAAAACTCTTCCCATCACACATAACTTTCCTCCTTCAGGTATAAGTACAACCCTCAGGAGAATTAAAAAAACTCTCTCAGCATACCTCTCTGGTGATACAAAGTGCGATTTGCTAAATAGCAAAGCAAAACAGTTACTTTCTTTTTCTATACTTTTTTTTCTAGTACAGCTGTAAGCAATTAAAATAAGCTTATTTTATAGCATTTTTATGCTGCGACCTCTCCTACAACCATAATTGCTTAAAATTAGCATTTGATAATAATGCTCTTAAAACCCCAGATGACTGTAAAGAAAGTTCCTCTGTGGTACAACGTTACTCCCTGAAGCCACAGTACAGCAGTGAACACTACCTGTGCCAATTAATTCCACACTCTTAGCGACCCCAGAAAGGTTTTACCTGGGTGTAAAGACACTCTTAAGGATCAGCTATCAGGCTTGCAAGCCTAGCCTTGGCTGAAGCAGAATACCAGCAGGAGTATTACCGTTACTGCTTGTATTAATTAGACATGTAACAACCTAGAAACAGCTATATCTGAGCTTCCAAAGGGCCTGGAGATCTGTTAATTGTCTGAAAATTGTTTTGCTGCTGGTAAACAGCCACCGAAAGGCCAAAATGTTCCATTTTTATTTCTGTTCTTCAGAGTTTGGCAAAGTATTGCACAGGCAGTGTTAAAAACATGAAAGACTACAGCAAATTTGGGCTCTTGCTGAGAGTCAGTCCTTTCTCTCCAAGGATTAAAGAGTATTGGCAACTCTTTCATCCTACGAAGTAGAAACTTAGAAATGGAACCTTTGGGAACAGTAAAAAATTATTTAAAATAAATTATACTGGTGTGCCAATTGAATAGCACAATTCCACTGAATGCATTTATTGTACACGGTTCAACAGCTAATCACTCAGCTTTCCAACTTGCTCAACTCTTGCAGTGTTGCTGGGTAAACTCACGTCATTTTGGATGGACAGTGGCACTTGTGCACACAACGCTGCTCACGCTGCAACAGCCCCAGAATCTCCGTCCCAGGCAGAAAATAACACTAAAATAACAAGAACTGAATCTGCAAAGCCTCCTGTTCTTAGGGATCAAAGGGCCTCACACATACACCGAATTTGTGTACAGTTTCACATTACAACAAAATTGATATGAAGTGTACACTGCTGCTGAACGGGCTGCTCGCATTCCCCTCTCTTCCTCCTCCTCTCAACCTGGGCTGCACACCGCTGCCATCTCCATTGCGCTGGACAAGCATCACAGGATGCATGGTTCAATTTGCTGATCTGCCAGGGCAGTAAACTATTAATAAACATGAAGAGAATCTTCTGTTGGATAATAGGGCTGATTGGATTCATTACATGGCCGTATAAATCATCAGATGCAGCGCACGGAGAAGGAGGGAATCTGTATCTGGAGATGATGAGGAAGGCTGAGAGCACTTCCGCGCACAGCAGCCTGCAGGCATGCTAAATTAGGCTTAGCACTAAATCATATTTTAACATTACTTTACTTAAATGAGCTCAGACCCCTTGTTCCCCAAGGACATGTTTCCTTCAAACTCCTTTCAGCCTGGTTTCTGCATGGTCAGCCTTCATCTTCCAAGCGCTCCCCCTCATGTTTGCGACTGTTTAATTAATTTGATTTTTTAAAGTGTGTAAAAAAAAAAAAAATCACACTTAATCATTCCACAAAGCAGCACCAGTTTACTGTACAGCAACCCATAAGGAGGCAGTACTCAAAGTTATCAACGAAGAGCGAGCAAATACTGTAGATGCCTTTATCACTGGGTGACAACTCTGACTCCTGTCCCTGGGTCCCCACCGTGCCTTCTCCTGCACCGGCTCCAGCCGGACTCCTGTCCCTGGGTCCCCACCGTGCCTCCCCCGCTCCAGCCAGGGGAGCCAGAGGCTCAGAGTAAGCCTCCAGAAGCCATACCTTCTAGCTCACTCCCCTTTCAGGGCCCAGAATTTTGTGTATTTAAATGCATTTTACAGGTCAGCAACTCTGCTGAGTTTACAAGTCATTTAGCACAGGTGTAAATAAATAAGCAAGGGGCACACCAGCAGCTAACCTGGCCCATGTGCACTGCACAGGACAGCTTACTCACTGAGCGAACATCACTAAACCACTGAGCACAGTAACCTATTAATAGAAGCATTTGCATCAAGAATTTCACATCCTTTAGTCACAGAAAAGGGAGCTGGAAAGGCTGGAAAGGTTTAATGGAGTGTGCTAGTCTCTCTGCCCCCAAGCTAGGACAAGCTACAACTAAACAACTCCTGAGACCTGTCTGTCTGACCTGCACTTAACAGCTCCCAGGGAGGGAGAGTGCTAATAAAAGGATCAAAATTTCACCAGTTTTTCTGCTTACACAACTTGTCTGCCCTCGTACATTCTCAGTGCCTGCCTAATACACAAGCGGCAATTATCTAATAGTTGTTGACCAAAGATTTTTATGAAATTGTTAATTAATTTCATAAATCTATTTTTTGGGCTGAGGGGCAAACTGCTTTATGTGGGGGCGGGGGGGTGGGGGGAAGAGAAGAACCATAATAGACAGCATGTCTGAGCTGTGGAAGTGTTTTCTGTGTGTTGATCATGCTTGGCTTCAAGTGGATTTTAATGAAAGAAAGCATTTGCATTTTAGAAGTGAATTTTCAAAAGCTCCCCGCACCAGTGTCCCTCTGCTCCCGCAGAAGCCACTGGTGAAGCCTCCCCTCCAGCAACAGCAACACGAGCTTTTGGGAAGCGCCGCCTGTGCATACAGCGAACAATACTGCTTGGATTATGCAGCTCTGCACAGTATGCATAGGTTGCATATGTTTGGCTCACTGCCTCTGTTCTCCTCATCCATCATTTATAGGGAGCTGAGATGGAACCAAGGAGCAGACAACCGAAACGCCGCTGGCTTGCAGCTCCCTCCTCTTATCATTGTCAGGCAGTTGCGCAGCTCCAGCTCCACTGCTTTGCAAACTAATTAAACTGATGTCCCTGCATGCACATGAGAAGTTTATTAGCTTCAGTGGTTTAGTCAATCTCGAGCTCTCCTCTGCTGCCAGTGCAAAAGGAAAGATCCTCAAACCATGCAGTTTCATATGCCTTTGGGTGGGGAAAGGGGGAGAGCGTCCTGGGGCTGACACACAAACTCAGAGTGAGGAGACCAGAGCTCCCTCCACGCTTTGCCACCAGCCTTTCTGCATCATCTTGGGCAAATCATTTACTCCTGCTTCTGTCACGGCTTCTGCACATTATCCCAGCTTTTGCCAACGTAAAGTTAAAGCTGTCTCGTACAACACTTTTGGCAGCATGACAGGGTACTCCTGGTATCAGTCTAAAATGCTGAGGAGCCCACCGAGGATGCTCTGTTCTCACAGGGACATACCCCCGACAGCTGTGTTCCACCAGTAAGACAACACAGAGCAAACCTGAGTGATGGCAAGGTCACGACGGTCAGACATAACTGCTGGGTTTGGGGGCACCTGACAAACACTTGAGAACACAGATAGGTTTGACCAGATTTCAGCAAGGGTTAAAAATCACTGGAGCTGTGCCAATCACTCCCAGCTGAAGGTCTGGTTCAATACAACTTAATAAACGTGCAAAATAACGATATTATCTCTGAACCTCATTAAGGTTCTAGGAAACAACATATACTCAGGTTCACAAAATACTTTGAGCTCTTCCTACAGGAAAGAAAGCAAGTGCAGATGTTCCTGTGAGGAACCTGTGAAGACCAAGGACCTCCTGGAGCATTTCTCTTCCCATGCTTCAGGCCCAGGCAGGTCCGCACCGTTCTTGCTGATGGATGTCTATGTTAAGTGCCAAAAGAGACCCCTACAACAGTTCAAAAGCACCTACAGGGAAAGCACCTTACTCCTGTGACTGCCATCTCCGTTTACTCCTCTCCTTCCTCCCTCCGCATGCAGAAGTGGGAAACAGGTTTAGGATGCAATTAACACTGATATATGTCTTTCATCTTAGTAATTATTTTTATCATTTAAATATATTTCTTGTGGCCAGATTTTGAATGATAAATGAGTCCAAATGAGAGCTGTCGGCACAATGGTCTTGTACAGTATCTGCACACAGCATTAACCCCTTGGCTATATGGAATACATATATGCAACTAATAAGAGAATTACAATGGAAACCAAGCACGATGACTCAACTCATGATAAAGTGTTCGTTGTTATTATTAGGACTATCCCACAACATGCCAGATGGTTTTCAAACATAATTCAGACTCAGACAGATGCCCTCCGGTGGTTCTTGTTCAGGCAATTGAAAGGTATTACTGCATCCATAGCAGAATTGAAGGTATGCCAGTGTGCTTAGCTTAAACTGTCAACAAAGATGTGAAGAAGCTGCAAACAGAAGTGTCTGAGACATGCAAACTTACCCTCTTAAACTATGAAGGTGCAGGTGAAATATTTTGGGGGAAAGCAGTGATAAAGTCTTAAGCCACTTCAAAAAGTATCATTAAATGGCATCTGCCAGAGTCATCCGAGGCAATCTCTACCCTCAGACTCCTGTAATGTAAAAAATGTGATGTATAAGAAAGCCAAGGAAAAGAAATAAAAACTTGTAGTTGCCATT